GTATGGATTCCATCAAGTATATGAAAATAGAGATTTGTTAATTAGAAATGATAATTCTTCATATTATTGTGATATAATATGGCTTACGCTAGCGGATTTGGGGGGATTTGAGGTGGGTATGGATATCCAAATGAGTAGTTGGACGGGGATGAGTAAAAAAAAAATTAGGCGGAAATGGGTGTGGAAATACCATCCTCTGCATCCGATCCGCCCCATTGCTGTCCCTAGTTATCTGTACAAAGTTTTGCACGTCAATAAAAAGTAAACATTCAAGATTCCCTCTCCCTTGCTCAAGCTTTGCTGTTCGTTTTCCCCTTCTTATTCACTGCTGTATTGGCTTTTCATTCTTCGGATGTTACTTTATAATTTTTTAAATTAATTTATAAAATAGAGAACATCAAAAAATAGTTGTCAGTAAAAGTTTTTCACACTAACGCGTGCAAACTACGCTTATACTCCGACAACGTAATAAAGGTAAATGTCGCAACTTGTTACTTTACATACCAATACGTCGTTAACTGCTAACTTTTATATCAATATGTCGCCGGTAATAATTTTTATATCAATCTGTCATAAGAATGTTAACTTCTATACCAATATGGTCAATTAGCTACATTAATATTACGTTTTGGGGAGCACATGATTGCGAAGTACGAACCTTATGGTTCTCAATGTCCTGAAAACTACAACTTTAAAGTTGAAGAAGGTGAAAGTATAATGGAAGTGATAGTAAGGTATGGTTTCATTGTGGATGCAATTGGATTCGTCGTAGCTAAGCCAAGTGGAAGTACCTACAATAAGATGTTTGGCAGGAATATATAGCCCTCGCGCAAAGGCGCTAGCCAAGGTTAATACATAGTAATTAGTACATACACCTATGAGGAATACATTCATGTTTTCAAACGTACTTGCGCTTGTTTTAGGTAATTGAAAAACAAAAATTAGTCTTCGTTATTAGGGGGCCCAAAACCTTTTAGATACACACATAAAATGTTTTTTTGCTCATTTGATTTTTTTTCCTTATTTTAAGATTTTAAAATGAGCAAAAAAATATAAATGAGCAGTAAACTCTTAAATGCATCTTGCACCCGATTGTATATAAAAAAATTCCATTAGGGGAATAGGGGTCAGTATGCTTAATAACAAATTCTAAGCTACCCAAACTCAATCCTTATTTACTCAAAATTGTTTTCAACATTTCCAACTCAAAAGGTAGCATTAGTTGATGCCTTAGGAACAAATTATGTGGCACCTTTGAAAATCGCCAATGTTGTTATCAACATTTACAGATCAAAAGGCAGCATCTTTGGAATAAATGCAAGGATTGAATCAACATACATCAACACCCTAGTTGATGAGCATATTGTATATATGCTCATCTGATTTGAAATATATTGAGCACCATCACTCCATGTGACGACAATGTAAATTATTATTGATGACAAAGTAATAATCTTGGGTAAACTTTTTACATTTTTAGCCCACCGTAAACAAATCGAGCACAAGTTGAATATTGGTTGGGCTTGTTTTAACTGTATTAACCTTTCATCACATGATTCACAAGTTATAACTGTTAAATTTCGGGAAAACTCCTCAAGTTATTGGAGTGTATGTCATAACTTCAACCTTTGCACAAGCTAGCAGATCCAACAATTTGAAGCAAACATCATGGAGATCACCCCTATCTCCACGATTTAGACCCCGATTGATTGTGACAATACTGGCAATTATAAAGTGGAAATCTGCCAACCATTGATCTGCAGTTATGGAGATTGTGCATGCAATTGTTGCGCCAGAAATCATTATTGAGAGGGGATGGTAAGGAGGAAGGGGAAAGAAGAAAGGGTAACTAGTATTCGTTGGTTGGTACACCGAGGTGTATCATGTGCATGATATACCCAAATCAAAACTAGTTTAAAGGCGGAAAGTGTAAAGGAATAAACTAATTATCATATTATTTAGCTTTATGTTTTGTATTTATTCAGTCAATGCTTATTATACTCTAGCTTTCCTAATAATAAGGATATATACTTATCCCTCTAGTTTATCTTGATAGTTGTTAGCTAGCTTTGTGGGATTATCTCGTTCATTATTAGCTATAAATATAGCTTTGTAATTCTGGTTTATTATTCAATTATATAAAACCTTCATAGCTTTTGCTAATCTAATATGGTATCATGAGCTATTGATCCAACTTTTTTTTCCGCTTCCGCTACTATCATGGCTACACCATCAAAACCCTTTGTCAACGCTGACAAATGATGGTGACCATATTCAACTTCCCTCTCGGATAGCTCCAAACTCCTTATGGACAAACAATCCCTCTTTGGCACCCTGTAGTCTATCTACCATGGAATGCCTGCAAAACTAATTTTTAACTCGACACCACGTAGTTTATCTACCACAGAATGCCAATTATCAAATTTTTTTTTTCTCTCCAAATCCCTTACGGAGAAACAAATCCATATTTAGGCACCTTGTAATCTCTCTACAAGGAAGCCAACTATCATTTTTTTTCTCCACACCCCTTACGGAGAAACAAAACCATTTTCGACAGCCCATAATTTATCTACCAAGTTTTGTCAAGCATAAACTTATTTCTCCAAACTCTTATGGAGAAACCCACTCACTACTCTCTTAGAATTCAACATATTTCTGGTGATGATCAACTTGCAAATGCTCTCACTACACCTCTTACAGTCACACGCTTCACTCCCTTGTGCTCCAAGATTGGCCTCGTCTACAGACCATCCGTCTTGCGCGGGCATGTTAAGGCATAATCGTCTTTCAAGATTGAACTTTCCCTTCGGCCGTCCATCTTGCGGGGGCGTGTAAAGGAATAAACTAATTATCATATTATTTAGCTTTATGTTTTGTATTTATTCAGTCAATGCTTATTATACTCTAGCTTTCCTAATAATAAGGATATATACTTATCCCTCTAGTTTATCTTGATAGTTGTTAGCTAGCTTTGTGGGATTATCTCGTTCATTATTAGCTATAAATATAGCTTTGTAATTCTGGTTTATTATTCAATTATATAAAACCTTCATAGCTTTTGCTAATCTAATAGAAAGAACATAATTTATATTTCTAATGAACATCATGACTTTATAAAAGAACAGAGCATTGAAATATAAAGAACGGGATAGTTTGGTGAAACAGTTCTTTAAAAAGGTAAAAAATAATTACCAATTTATATTTACCACGTATTTAATGTCAAATTATTTCAAAATATTCATAATTATTGTCATAATATGATTTTTAAATGTCCATATCCTTTTATCGTAATTTTAATGTACCTTTATTATATTGTCACACAATGTTCATATTGTGAAATTTTTTTTGAATTATGTTTTAACAAGTTGGGTAAATAATATAAATAATGCTCTTTAAATAATATTATCATGTTCTTTTTTAATATAGAGAATGTTCTTTAGATCTATCAGAAAATCAACCATCAATAGAAGAGGTCCCAAAAGTATGTCATCTTCGTCAACCTTTATGATCTTGATTTCAAAAAAATATACATATACACAACTAGATGTTTTTTTTTTTTTGAAAAGTACGCAAATAGATGAGCATAGTTTGTAACGTAAAGAACACATATTTCAAATCCAAAGAACATACTTTGTGACTATAAAGAACATATAGTTTAGACTCAAAGAGCATAATTAAACTCAATGAATATATTCATTACAATAAATATGGATAAAAAAAAAAAAAGAAACCGATAAAAGAACATTATCCTAATCCAAAAGAACTTCATCTTCAACCTCTAAAAATAACACAAATTTTTTAAAAAAAAAACTAAATAATAAAAAAAAAATTACATTTTCTTTCAATGATGATTTCGTTAACAATGATCCATGAACAAATATAATAATCTAAAAACATCATCAACAACAACAAAATTATGAAATATAAATTGAAAAAAATAATTAAAAACTACCTTCTCATTTGGTGAAAAAATCTAAAATTAAATATCAATTGTCAAAAACATCAATCTGCTGATCATCAAGTGAAAATCAACAATCATAGATCGTGACAAAATTCACGATAAGCCATCATTTTCTCTCTAAAAAATTTATTTCTTTCTCTTGAAATTTTATTTTCTCTCTAAAAACTCTCTATTTTTTGAAAACTAATTACGAACAATTATGGATATGGGAAGCTAAATTATGAAAAGAAAATAACAAAAATCCTTCAATTAAGGAGCATAATTTTAGGAAGCTGACTTTTTTTTTTTTTTTTGAATGACAATTTTCATCCAAATGTACCATGAGCATGGTACACCCTGGTGTACAATGTAAATTTCAATTTTTAATTTCCGCATACAAAGTATTAAATATGTATAGTTTGGTCAATGGAATGGATGGTATAGATTTAAAACCAAATATTAATGATCATGATCAAATTATAACGATGACATTACTAGTGTAGCCATTGCAATTTGTCCTACTATTATTAATTAATTAATAATAATCTAGGTATTTGAGTGTAATTCAGTTCGGGTCATTTTAGTTCACAGGGTCTTAATCTTTATATTTTTTGGTTTTATGCCTCATGTTTAAGGAATGTACATGAAACACTATGCATACACCTATACCATCATATTACGAAATATAACCCAATTCAACCCTAAACCAAAAAGAAATTAAATCTATAAATCGAGTACTAAGTTCCAAGTGTGGAACTCTGCGTAATTTAGACGCACCGAATAACTGGATATATAGCTTCGCATATTAATGGAGAATTCATCCATTCAATCAAAATCTATCACTATCCATGGAATATGTATACAAATGCATAAATAGATTAATTTTACACGATATATTTCACTTTCTATGCTCACATGCATGTATAATTGATATTGTATACAAAATCATAACATTACTACGTTAATAATCAAAACGAAAAAATAAATAAATGGCAGGCATGAAGAATTATGGACCACTAGAATATATTCAAAGTGATGATCTAAATGCGTGTATATATATAGATATCCTCTTCATCCATAACAAATCACAGCATACACTTATTAGTTACTACAACAACTTAAATTAATAGTAATTCCCAAGCTTCTTCCATCACCTCGCTTTCAAAATGGCTCAAGCAATCGCCCAGGTTCGTTAGTTTTTCTCTCTCTGATCTATGCGTAAATAATTCTAATCTATTTCTTAAAATGAGCATAAATTATTTGACTATTTATGTATGTTTTTAACAGAAGCACATGACTGAACAATACGGACCTTATGGTTCACAATGCCCTGAAAACTACAGCTTTAAACTTCAAGAAGGTGAAAGTATCAAGGAAGTGATTGTAAGGCATGGGTTCATTGTCGATGCCATTGGGTTCGTCGTAGCTAAGCCATGTGGTGGTACCTACACCAAGATGTTTGGTGGCACTTGTGGAAACGAATCCAAGGTTAGTAGTTAGTACACAATTAATGTAAAATACTTGCAAATTAAACAATTTTCATGTTTTCTAAAGTACGTACTAATTACACAATTATGCTTATTTTACAAACTAGGGTTCTAATATATTTTCCCTTAAATTCCACTTTCTATACATGAATGAATATAGATTGTGCTCAAGTGTGGTGAAAAAATAACTCGAATTAGCGGCACCTATGGTAACTACGTATACCAAGGTGGTCAATGCTTGATTGCCACAATGAAGATCCACACCAACTTATGTCCAAATGGATACGGACCATTCGGACAAGGAAAGGGTATTGAAGGCACCGCAAAGGATTTCTCTTCTCCATGTACACTCGATGGCCCTATTGTCGGAGTTTTTGGAAGGCACCACAACTATCTCGAGTCTGTTGGAATTTTCGTCGAGAAGAAGGTGAGACATGATTATATATTTGTAAACTCTTAAGAACACCAAGATTTTTATTTATTTATTTTTTTTTATTAAGATTTTGCTACAAAAATTTTGTACGCACCCTAATAATGCTTGAATTGGTTTCCATGGCAAATTGATCATACAGGACTGCCCATGCGCTTGAAGTGTTTGGCTACCGCGATGGCCTCATCTTTCGCGATTATGCTGTGGGATTTTCTTTGTTTCCAATAAGCCACATATCATGTTTATTACTAATCAAAGTGGCCTCTCAAGTGTGATGATTTGTACCCATTAATCAACTTGACTGATTATGTTGTATCAGTCTTTTTAATATATAATATTAACAAGCGTTGATATATCAATACTTGGAGTATCTCTTAACCCTTTAGTGCATACTTATCCAAAATTTTTATAAATATTTATATATAACTTAGACCACTCACAGCAGTGGGCAAAAAAACAATCTGCTCACTCTCTCTCTACCCACTTTTTCTCTCAACAAATATCATTTTGACCATGAGCAAAGTTTTTTCACAATAACTATCACACCAATGAGCAAAAAAATTGCTTGCCCACCAATCTCTCTCTTACTTTTTCAATACCCCACTATTATTTTCTCTCTCCTATACACCAATAACTAATTTATTATTTTGTTTTTAAATTTAACCATACTACTCCAAATAAAATAAAAGTAGACTAAATATTATGAATATTTTTTTAATTTAAGCCGTACATACGAAAAGTAGACTAAAATACGAAATTTAAGCCGTACATACGAAATTTAGAATATTTACAAAAATAAAAGTAGACTAAATATTATGAATATAGAGGATTTTTGTGTTTTTGGAAATTATTCCAAAAAATATGAAAATGGATGTCTATTTGTAGAGAAAAATATTTTATGACCGTTGGTGATTTTTTTTTTTTTTCAATTTTATAAAGCACGAAAAGAATTTACATAAAATAGCCGTTGCAAAATGGCTACAAAAATCTGATTGGTTCTTATACCTGACTGGGACGCGTGGCAGCATTAGATTTGCTCAATTTTTTTTTTTCTGAGTTTGCTCGGACAAGTGTCAGCATATAAATGGTCCTTTTTTATTTTTTTTCTGATTTTGCTTGGACATGTGGCGGCTTTTGGTTGTTCTTCTGGATGGGTCCCACGTGCACTATTCATCAGCAAATTTGCCCAAGTCTTGGGCATTTTAAGAAATGCTCATGGGCATATTTTTGCATTTCTTCATTTGATCACCATTGTAATGCATGAGCATATTTTTGGCCCACCCAAAATGCCCATGAGCATATTTTTTTATCACCATTGGGAGTGCTCTTAGTAATGACCTTATAAAATATGAAGATAAGAATATAATGGCCTAGACCATATATGCAAACATACTTTTAACAATTCAATTGCCTATGTTGTACAGTGTTTTTAATGTTTTTAAAACTATTGAGGAACAATAGGTCATAGATTCAAATCCCCTCATTCTCATTTGTATTTTATTTTTCTCTTGTGGATCATCCGCACCCAAAAAACTTGGTTGTTAAAAACTAAACCAACTTAGTAGAAAAAGTTTATCCGCCTGAAAATGACTCATATCAACATATACTTGAATGATGGATTGTGACCCACTACCCAAACCAAATTGTACTCAATACTAATCAAAAGCTAGCACATTTGACCCAATATCAGACTAGAACCCGAAACCAATTATAATGTGTTACTAATTCGATGTGTGGTGACCCTTAAGTTCTTAACCAAATTTTATCCAATACATATCCTATTGGTAACTCACTTTTACTTGTCTACTTGAACATCAGAAAATATATAGTCATAAACAAAATTGCTAAAGGTAAAAATTAAATAGTATAGAGGATTTTAAGTCAAAATTATAAAGAATATTAAAAATAAATAAATAGATCTAGTCCAAAACCCGTTGGATCGAATTGGACCAAAAACTTAAATTTTAAATTTTGCAACCTACTAGTCAGACCGGTCCAAATCGGTTTTTTAATACCCTTAAAATAACAACAAAAAATTGTAGGGTTGGGAATCTTGGGATTATGTGAGGGAAGGGAAATAAATTACAATATGTTTGTGGGGACTAATGTAGGAAATATATACCTTACATACATGTAGTGAAATGTTTCCAAATAAATAAGTTTAGCTCAAAAAAAAAAAAAATGGAAAATTGGAAATAGTCTCTTAAATAATACTCTCTCTGTATTTGATTGAGTAAAACATTTCTCTTTTGCACATATGTCAATGCAAAACTTTGACTGATAGCAACTCCAATGGTTGTAGTTAGGGACTTGCATGCAATTTTCAAAAGTCTCTAACTACTACCTTGACCATTGGAGCTAAAAAATACAATTAGCTTGGCCAAACAAATTAGCTTGCCAAACTAATTTGCTTGAGAAAAAGTTTCCGAAATTTTTGGCCTGGAGATTAATATATTAAAATAATTAAATTTATAAAGCTAATTGAGAAAATCAAACTTAATTATTAATTAGTAAGCTAGTAGCCAACCATTGGGGCACAAATATAGCTACAAACAGAATTAGCTTGAAATCATATGTGGCATGGCAAACTAATTAACAATTAGCTTACCATTAGAGATGCTCTAATATATCTAAGTATCAATAAGTAAAAACTATAACAATATAATATTAATAAACTATTCATTAAGATTCCAACGTACCCACCAAAATTATGAACTCGGATATGAACTTATAAAATATAAACAAGTTTAGATAATTTCAAATAAAATAAGTTTAGAAAAAAAATTATTGTATTTTAACTTATCTAAACTAAACCTATTTAATCCGAATTTATATGAACTTATTGTATTTTATCTAAACATGTCATCTCGAATATGAACTTATCTGAAATTGTTATCCCTAAAATGAGTGGAATCAATGTGAATAGATTAGAATAGGGTTTGAACTTATCTTCTAAAAATCTAAACTAAACCTATCTTATTGGAATTAATATGAACTTATTATGTAGATCTTATCTAAACTTATTAGAACTTATTACCTCGAATTTAAACTTATCTGAAATTATTTCTCTTACAATAAATGAAGTAATTGATAATGATTAAACGTGAATGTCATTACATGAACTGTTAACAAACTGACCCAAAAAATGTATCCGAACCTGATTTTGACCCGACCTGAAATCAACCCGATACCCAGATTAACCCAATATTTGAGACCCGAACCTAAACATGACCTGACTTGGAAATGATCCGACCTGATTATAACCTGTAATTTTTTGACTTGAACCAAACCCGACTTGAACCTGAACATGACCCGACTTGTAAATGACCCGACCTGATTGTAACCCGCAAATTATTGACTTGAACCGAACCCGACTTGAACCCGAGAATGACCCGACTTGGAAATGACCCGACCTGATTATAACCCGCAAATTATTGACTTGAACCGAACCCGACTCAAACCCGAGAATAACCTGACCTGATTATAACCCGCAAATTATTGATTTGAACCGAACCCAACTCGAACTCGAGAATGACCCTAACCCGTTTAAACCCGTGAAAACCCGAATTAAACCCGACCTATTATTCACCCGACCCGAATGTAACCCGACCTGTTATTAACCCGACCTAAACCCGACCCAAACCCGATTAGATGTATGACCCGACATTACCCGACTCAAGCATGACCCAACCCGACCCCGACCCATATAGGTTACGACATTAACCAGAAATTACCCGACCCGAGTTGACCCGACCCACACTTACCCGACCCGTTTACCCGAAATGACAGCTCTACATACATGTAGTGAAATGTTTCCAAATAAATAAGTGTAGCTCAAAAAAAAAAAATGGAAAATTGGAAATAGTCTCTTAAATAGTACTCTCTCTGTATTTGAATGAGTAAAACATTTTTCTTTTGCACATATGTCAATGCAAAACTTTGGGTAGCAACTCCAATGGTTGTAGTTAGGGACTTGCTTGCAATTTTCAAAAGTCTCTACCTACTACCTTACCATTGGAGCTAAAAAATACAATTAGCTTGGCCAAACAAATTAGCTTGCCAAGCTAATTTGCTTGAGAAAAAGTTTCCGAAATTTTTGAAGATTAATATATTAAAATAATTAAATTTATAAAGCTAATTGAGAAAGTCAAACTTATTAATTAGTAAGCTAGTAGCCAACCATTGGGGCACAAATATAGCTACAAACAGAATTAGCTTGAAATCATATGTGGCATGGCAAGCTAATTTAACAATTAGCTTATCATTGGAGATGCTCTAATATATCTAAGTATCAATAAGTAAAAACTATAACAATAGAATATTAATAAAATATTCATTAAGCTTCCAACAAGTACCCACAAAAGTATATTTATTTTTATATATAAATATTAATCAAAATGAATTAAATGAATAGTGTGAGAAGTCAAAACATTTCAATTATTAAATACGGAGGAAGTACTCCCTCTACTAGCAAAATAATCTTTATATTCAAATCATGCCAAATCAAATCATATAATTTCTTTTTTTTTTTTTTTGACAGGCAAATCATATAATTTCATTTACTAACCAAGTTTAATTCTGATAATCACGTGTTAAAGTATTAATTATTTACCCGTCCAAAAGTATCAATTATTTAAATACTCTCCTATCAAACACGTCGGTTACCTTTCTCTCCACGCATAATCCTTGCTCGCCAAGCAAATAAAAAAACCCACAAAAAAAAAAAAAAAAAAAAAAAAAAAAAAGCCTCTTTAAAAGTCAAACTCTCTCCTTTTATAAATAACACCAAAACTCGCACCCCAAAAAATACACTCATTGCGCTTTAAACGTTCACATCTTTTAATCCCTTCATTTTTTATTTTTTTTTCATCCCATTTCTCTCTCAAAAAACCCAAAAAACTAACCCTAGAGAAATTCTCTGAAAATCATTTTTTTTTTTTTTTGTAATCCCATTTCTCCCCTAAAAAACCCAAAAAATTAACCCTAGAGAAATTGTTTGAAAATCAAAATGAGAAGAGAAGGGCGTCCACATGGAATGGTCCGTACATACCATATATTACCTTCACCATTGAACCCGAGACCCACCTCTCGAATCGTAAACCCGGTTAATACACCCCCTACTGCTGGCCTTTTCACCAAGGTCAATAACAAACCCACCAACCACTCTAAATTCACTGGAAAATGTGAAAAATCGCGGTGTGCCGGGTGCCATCTACACCCATCTTGGAAGTCTAAGGTTAAGTCTAAGGGTGCTTTAAAACTTAAAAACGCTGATGCTGAACTGGATTACCGCCATGTTACTTTTCGCGTTATGGGTTCCAATAAATTACGTGATAATGGGTATTCTGCTTCGGGTATTCTTGATGAGTTGAATATTCATTATCATCATAATCATGATCTTCGTTATGATGATCATGGTAATTATTATGATGATGATGGCGACGATGATGGTGATGATGATGAGAAGGTAGGGATAAGACAGGTTTTAATTGAAACAACGTCGACTCATAGTGATGTTAATGATGATGTTCATGTTCATGATGTTGTTAAGAATGATGATGATGATGATGTTATGGTGGATAAAGATGATGATGATGTTATTATACATGCGGGTGTAACGGATGATGGGGATGATGGGTATATGGGATTTTATGATGTTGCATATGTGCTTAATCATGTGGATGAAGATGAAGGTTGGTCTATTGTTGGAGATGATAAGATTTGATTATGTTGATTATTTTTTAATTAACTTATTGTAATTACTCATTCTCCTATATTCCCTTTTTTGAAGGGAAAAAAAAAAAAGATATGTCTATATTCCCCGAAATTATCATTTAGTTTGTTTTATATTCTATAATAAATAATAATATTCAAGATGAATAATTTATATTTTGTGAATTTTGTAGAATTGATTTGGTTGCTTTCATTGATTTGGTGGTTATAATTAAGGTCAATACGTGAGGAATTGGTAATGTTATATCTAAAATAACAGTTGTGCAGAATTGGCTATGGAATTTAAGATAGAGACAGCTGGGTGATTTGTTGTGTTACGTTACAATCTTTTAATACGAAGTATATTGATTTTGAAATGGCCACTATTACTTAGTTTACAATGTCTTTACCAATTACCATGTTCTTAGACAAGCACAATTACCACACTAGCCCGCAGTGTACTAAGAAACGAAGTTTTCTTTGCTTATTTCAGCTCTAAAGAATGGTTATTGCCTTGCTTCTTAAGAATGGGATTCACTTCCAACTGTGACAGATCCAGTGAGAGTCAGAGTCTAAGAGTCTTGACTGTACTCGTAATATTTATGTGTACATATATATATCGAGTATACTCAAATATAGTTGGAGTAGGGTGATGAAACAGCACCCAGTTCTGAAATCATGTAGACAATAAGACTGTAAAAAACGACTATGGCCACTGGCCAGCCAGTACAGCAGAAGAAATAGAATATGGATGTACAGTACAGTAACAAAATATCAGCACATGCATTAGAAAAAAGATACCATAGTTGCAAAGTAATATAACCTTGATCACAGTATAAATTGAAATACAAGTGCAACACAGGCTGCTAGCCTACTTCAGTTGCCAGTATTATTTTACATAATCTGATAGCTTCCACCGGTCCACTCGTCACTTGGCTTATTCAAATTTGAAAATGGTCCCTTCCTCGGTTTGAGAAGAAAATAGCAATCCCTCAGATTAGAAGTGGAAGCCATTATTGCAAGACGTGCAAACACACACACACACACATAATTATACATTATTAAAGCCTAAAGGCCATTACAACACGAAGAAGACATTAGAGGATTACCAGGGCCAAACAGATTATTTGGTTCATTGATCGAGTGCAGGAACCATATTTTTTTGGTCAATCAGTCGTCAGAAATCCGACCTTTCCATGCTACTGTCACTCGAACAAGTCCAAATTTTCCCTTGATGTCTTTCACAGTTTTACCATCCAACTGAGGAGGAAATTCAGCTGTCCCCTTGGCAATTTCTTTATTAGAACTAACAAAAATGTTAGCTTCAGTTATAAGGGATCCCGTAGTAGGCACACTGATCACAGCTCTCGACAATGGAATGGGTTTACCAGGGTACACCTTCACAAACTCTTTGCTTGGCTTGTTAAACAGAGTACTTTGGTATTTAGCTTGCTCATCACCAGTGGAAAACTTATAGTTGCTATAACGAGCAACCATGCTTCCATACACTTCAGCTGGGTTTTTACCATCCCCATTGATGAGCACAACTTCCACATTAGCCTGCACTGCATCACGAAACGGAGTGTAGTACACTGTTGCAGACCCACTTCTGCCATTCACAACATTAGATAGACGCTTGTCATAGTAATCATCGTTGCTGAGTTGACAAATATCCCATGAGAAGATGTCATTGCTTACTTCAACATCTGAAGTAGGGTTATTACCCCGCTTCTTGAGATCAAGACTCACTTTAAAGTATTGACTAACCGATGTGCTGCGATAGGGCCCAGTGAGAGTCAGAGCCTCGTTCATTTTAATGGACTCGTAATCAGTCCTCTGTCGGTTGTAGAGATGGAGGGTACCTAAGCCATCATCGACTTGAATTGTTCCATAGATTTCACCAGCAACGTTGTTGATATGAACAGAGAACACCTGGAGAAGAGGTAACCCTTTGCCCTGAATGGAGGTACCTGCATTAGCTGCGGCAGGAAGTCCAATGAGTTGCAATTTAAGAGTTGGATAGTTTCCTTTCAAGACAGCGATACACTTGGCTGCATCTGCTGAAGTGACTATTCCCAACTCCTTTGTCCTCGTAAGGATATTAGGCTGATTAGTCTCTTTATCTCGAGGTAGGCGGAAGTAAATGGCGAATTGGTCCTCACGTAGTAACATGTCTGAAAGATCACCCCAATTCTTAATCAGAGGCTCCATCCAAGTCTCATCGAATTTAATATCTTTTAGTCCCTGCATCACTGGGGCGAAAGTATCAGACAGCTTCTGAAATCGAACTGTCTCCGATATCATAACAGCTAAAGCACGCAATGAGGACTTCCTGGTTTTGCTGTCTGTGGTTAAAGCAAGGTCAATGATGGTTTGTTTGAGTGTGCTGTAGCCGACCTTCTCAAGATTCTCTAGCTTACCAAGGTTATCATAGTTCTCACCAAAGCCAAGAGATACAGAATCAGGAATTAACTTTAATTTGGCATTGTCCCACTTGAACTCAAGCCAGTTGGTAGCTCCATCCATCCGATAGCCAATAATGTATAGGTCATGCCGTCTTATTTTCACAGTCAGAACTCGTTCTATTTGTTTAGCATCTTTTGCTCGTAATTCAATGTCCATATATTGTGCTTCTTTCATAGTTGGAGGTGGATGCGGAAGGACAGGACGACCATGGGAAAACCTATTTGGATCCTTTGCCCAGTTTCGTACTTGTTGGATGAATGTCATGTAATTGTCAGTTGATATGTTGAATTGGATCATCCTTGTCAAGCCCCTGTAAGAAGGAAGTTTATGGAGATTTTACAATAACAGAAGTTTTTACCCATAAATACACCATAATAGTAAGAGCTTTTCACAAAAGTTAATATGAAAGAAAAACAGTATCTTTTGATCTCACATAGTCACATTTGGTTCAGATAAATATAAGTAAAGGAGAAGTAAATTTAAGAACAATTGAAAACACATTTTTACATTGTTCTACCAAATCAGTAATTTCAGTTCCAAACAATAAAAGTAAAGATACAAAGTTATCATAATTTTCCTTCATCTTCTTCCCTATCACCTTATTGAAGAGGTTTATAAAAAGGATAAAAGAATACTCCCACATAAAGCCGGCCATCTAGTTATTAAATTGGTTGTGTGTGTAAATCACAAGCATGCATAAGCTTTTTCAACAGCTTAACGGCATTACCGGATGTTACATTTAGCAGCAATGTGAACTGAACAGATGGTCATCCAACCTGTTTTTCTCATCTTCTCATGAAATATTTAGGCAGGTGTTACAAGGCGGCTCAATACTCAAAAGCCTAAGAGCAATGCCAACAGTGATCATTTTTTTCCTCATGAGGAAAATCATGAGAAAATTTGATCATTATGGACATCACAACAATGAAGAAATTGGTTTTTCTTCATGAGGAAAACTGATTTTCCTCACCCCATGAGGAAAATTAAAAATGAACAGTAACAAGTGGGGCCCAGCACCATTTGCTACTTATTTAATTTTTTTTACTTGCTTGCTATTCTTTTATTATATAATACTTCTTTCGTTTCTTTTTAGTTGACACGTTTCTTTATTCACGTTTGTAATGCACAACTTCAACCATTAATATATTTAATCACCAATAAACAAAAAATATAGAAAGTTGATATTTTGAAAATTTATATCGTGACAAATTTAACAAGATCCTACATGACTATATTTTTCATTACGTATAAAGCAAAAACATGGTCAAAGGGGAGTGAGTGAATAGTGTTAAAGTCAAAATAGTGTTTAAGTGTGAATATGGTGATTTGTAGGAGAGAGAAAATGTTTGTGGGGTATGGAAAGAAAGAGAGAGTGGTGAGGATTTTTTTTTTTTATCACTGGTGGGATAAAATTTCCTCACCAAATTTCCTCATGAGAAAAATGAGAATTTTAGAGAGAGAAAGTGAGTAGAGAGAGAAAGAGGAAACCATTTTTTCCTCATTGTTGAGAGTGCTCTAAGTATTTCGGGAATGAGTAGCCATCTATATGACAAGGTGAGTGAATTTTACTCTTTAACTGGATAGGAATGCAAAATCAAGCCTAAACCCAGATGTCCAAACATGATTTCACGCGTTACTCAAACTTCATGTACTGGCAGCACCCTTGTGGAGCTCAACAGTCTGACATGGGCTTGGACAGCTTGGCATCTTATATGAAATGGTCCAGTTCGAGACATGGACACTTCTGTCAACACTAGTAGGCTTTCATCACACCTCACACCTAACCAAGGCTTAAAGCGTACTTTTACAAACCTGGCTCAATTGTCAGGCATAAAATCTACACAGCTACCTTACAAAAAGTTAAATCTTAAAGTTTCTGCCACCATTTTCTGATGTTTACAGAAGGGCTCAGTGCCACATGAATGACAGGCGCTGAGGCCCTTGTGATAACTGATAGGTGTTGAGAAAGAGTAAATAGTGAGGGTAATTTGTAAAAATAAATGAGAAGGGTTTTTAAAGCAATTTCAGTTTGACATTTAGAGAATCAAAGAAGAATCCAAAAATTGTTAGAGCAGATCACCATTTCTAGCTATGTTCACGATTTTGGAGGGAAAGAAATTCAATCATTAATAATTATAGGATGAAGATAAAACCAACATGCACTTCCTAGGCAAAAATTATGTGTTCTACTAGATTCTTAAAAAGGTTTGGTTGCTATGAAGTATAAACTGCTAGCAAATTTAACTGTGCCTAGGCTCCAGGAATCCAGGTGATCTGGTTTTAGGAAGGTGGTGTCAGGATTGGGAGAGTTTGAGATCTAATTGAGTTTTTTGCATCTCTCATTTTTAGATTCAAAGATTTACTGACCAGAGAAGCAAACCTGTTAGATTGGGTTGATGACCGAAACCCAATCCACAAGAAAACCCAACCATTTGGATGGGTAAACACTAATGACCCAGCTATGAAATTGAGGTGATAAGAATTGAACCCCCAATTCCCAAACCTCATGGTTGAGATTTGTGAGGTGGGAGCTCAACCATTCAGCTCCCACTCAATTTTTCTTTGAAATTTTAACAATAATTTAAATAATTACATAGTATATTCTTATAATCTTAGTAGAAGAATTTGAACTGATTCAGGGGAAAAAGTTGAAAAATAATGCTTCTGGGACAAATGACATATGTATAGGATAGCAAACAAGAAACAATAAACTAAACCATCACAACATCATACACAAACCAAGGTAAGGATCAGCCAATCACCCCAGAGCCCAACTACTTTGGCTTTGCAGCTACACCTTGCTAACACCCCATTAACTCATACACTCATGACAACCAACAATAACTTTGAAACTAGTGGCCACAATGGGCATGGTAATGGAGATCAGTGGTAGCCAAATAGTAATGTTTGTTCTTCATCACTCTAAAATTATATATTCATTGCAATGAAGATAAATAAATAGAAGGGATTACATACCTTAAGTAGAATTGTAGCTTCAAGAGTTGGTTTTCCTCTGGTCTCTAGCTCAGGTCTTTCCACACATGCAGTAGATAAACCCACTGCCCTCTTTTTATAGGCCAAGTATTTCCACACGCGCAGAAATAAACCCAAGTATGGATATTATATTCTCACCCCCCACCCTCCTTTCTGATTCATATAACAGTACAAGATCATAAACTAGTATAATCATATTATTCCCTTTGTCCCACAATACATTAAATGTTAAAAATTGCAAGTCACAGATTTAAAAAGTACAAAAAAAATGTAGGACATGAGAGCAAATTATTGCATTTTTATTCATAAACAAGTAAACACTTAAAATTATACCTACAAGTTTTATGCAAGAATATAATTTGCAATCTTAAATTTCTAGTACTTCCTCCGTTTTTTATTATATGCATCACTTTTGAAATTGAGGACTCCTAGGCAATTTTTGGAGTAGAGAGAGATAGAGAGAAAAAATAAAGAGGATCCATATAATATGAGAGAGATGGAGAATTTACTGACTAATAGGGAAAGTGATGCATCTAACTAAAAACTTCCATATATAGAAAGTGATGCATCTAATAAAATGCGGAGGAAGTATATTATTTGATAACAAAATGAAAAATAGTAGCATTAAGAAAATAAGAAGAAAAAAAATCAGATGTATCATTATTATGATAGGCATAATAATGCAGATTTGTAAGCTGCTATTGATCACCTTCTATGTTCTACATGATTAGTTTCTTGTTACTCAGTACAGGTTCTAAATAGAGATTAATCTTTTCTCAAAAAAAAAAAAAGATTAACCTCATCTAATCATTAGTGTTTGCCCTTGATATTCAAATTTGAATTATATACATATATAAAATCGAGGATATGATATGAGAACACTCAATATTTTACATAAATTTAATCGATCTGAACGTACGATATAATTAACAAAGAAGTCTTCATTCAATAAGTCTATGAAATATACATTGAAAATACTGCTTAGTAAACTAATAAGCTAACTTTTTTATTCAGAGATGCATGATAATGTCCAGGTTACCGATTAAGTTGAATATGCCGCCTTGAATATAATTTAAACATCCTCAACCATTATTGATATATTTATTTTAATTAAGGCATTATATTTAATAATATAATGGTCATTTTTAATCACTACTTGATTGTACATGATCCATCACGATTTTATTAACCAACTTGTCTTGGTCAACTCAACTACAAGAATACAGTTCAAGGACTGAAATGATAAATATATATGTATATTTTAAGATGCATATTGAATTGGTTACCATGAAAATTCAAGTGGAGCGAAATGATAAATATATTGGAAGTATTAATATATCAAGAAAAGACAAAATAGTTTGGAAGAACGCTAGGACCGTTGGAGTAACAATGTTTACATTATGATTGAAAACCTTCTTATAAAAGCGCTTTTTTGTTAACAACCTCCGTATAATATTTTCTTACGAAGTCATACCTTAATCAAAATTACTTTTGTGAATTCGTACCTTATGCTGGAAAATAGAGTTTGACCCTGTTTCCCAGCGTTGACTTATAAAAGAACTTTTATTTTTAGTTTACGTAAATAAGAACATCATCGATATAGAAAAATTGAATTTGATAAATTAAAGTTTTGATATTTTTGATGCAAATAAGAAGAAAAGCAACTATTAGAAATCAATCAACTAACCCACAATTTTCATATTTACTTAAACTCAATAACATAATTTTATTAATGAAAATAATCCTATCAATAAGCATGCAAATTCATGCGCAATAATAGGCTTAACAAATGTAAAAGATACAAATTAATCTTAAAAAAGTGGAAATCTTAATATATCTTATTAAAAGATATAAATCAGATTTTCCTTTAACTAATATATTTCACGCAAGGAAGTAATTATAAAACGTAACACTAATTCTATTAATAATGTGTAATTTTCGGATTGAGGACACTCAATCTCACAATTAATAGAGGACTCAAATAAAATTTGAAAGGTAAATATCAAAACAACAGATGACTCTTCTCATGTATTCCGCATTGGGCACACGTAAGTAACTGAAAAACGTGTAGTTTTCATTTTCTGATCGAGCAAAAGCATCAGCAGCATCATTCTTTAATTACATTTACGTCCATATGGCCCATACGTGGTATCCTTCGTGAATTGAAAAATATAGATAAATAGAATGATTTAAGAAATTAAAGTAATACTAAATATTAGAATATAAATAATTAAACATCACAAATTCTTATATATGGTTAGTGGTTAGTCATATGGTGTGACCGTTTAACAGGTAAAATAATAAATCGAATATTAAGGGTTGTGGTGATAAGCAAATTGGATTACATTGAAACTGTGATACATGTGGGTTATTTAATAGAAAAATAGAATTACTTTAAAAAAATAAGTGAATTTTTTTTTTTTTCATTATTCAAAATAAAAGAATATGGGTTACTCGAAATGAACATATGAAGTTGCTTACTTCTTTAATGACTTGATAGTTTATATTACTCGTATAATGAATTTATGTTACTTTTATTAACAAAATAGAGTTACTCTTATTAATCTAAAATTGAAGTTAGTCATGCAAATAAATAAATATTATTCTTTTAAACTAATGTGTCACTTTTAAAATTGAGGACTCCTAGGCAATTTTTGGAGTAGAGAGAGATAGAGAAAAAAAATAAAGAAGGCCCATATAATATGAGAGAGATGGAGAATTTACTGACTAATAGGGAAAGTGATGCATCTAACTAAAAACTTCCATATATAGAAAGTGATGCATCTAATAAAATGCGGAGGAAGTATATTATTTGATAACAAAATGAAAAATAGTAGCATTAAGAAAATAAGAAGAAAAAAAATCAGATGTATCATTATTATGATAGGCATAATAATGCAGATCTGTAAGCTGCTATTGATCACCTTCTATGTTCTACATGATTAGTTTCTTGTTACTCAGTACATGTTCTAAATAGAGATTAACCTTTTCTCAAAAAAAAAAAAAGATTAACCTCATCTAATCATTAGTGTTTGCCCTTGATATTCAAATTTGAATTATATACATGCTATTTTTGCATCCCTAAACAAGAGTAATTATCAAAGCTTTCTTTTGGTCCAAATTACTTACTGCTCTGCAAGTCCAATTCCACAGTAGAATACTTTTCCTATTTTACTGTAACTGTCGATAATGCAAGATGCAACTACAGTGTTTCAAAATAAATGCGGTAAATTCGTAATAAACTTCACACTTTGTTGTCACACAAACACACAGTGTTTCAAAATAAATGCAGTTAGTAAATACGTAATAAACTTCACACTTTGTTGTCACACACGCGCACACACATACACGCACGCACACACACAGACACACACAAGTAAATGCTTCGGAAAAAAAAGACATAAGTAAAACTCCAAAGTAGATAAAACTATTTAATTTAATTCCCCAAGTTGAGTTGATTGTATATTGAACCTCATGTGATGAGAAATAGAAGAGAGAGAAACAAAAGGTAAACATGTGGGTTTTGGCAAAGGGTAAAGTTTTAACTTTTTGGGCATGCTTGGATTGAGAGTGATGTATTAGTAGAGTAATAAAAGTCAAACCATATAAAATGAAACAGAATTTAAGGAAGGATGAGATAGTGATGATGTGATTGTAAGAGAATTTATGTAGTAATGATGTGGTGAAAGGTGAAGAAAAGAGAATTATAACCCCTCATTGTGGGAGTAATAGTTATACTAGGGGGAGGGTGGAGAACTATTACCATCATTACGAGGATAATGATTCCCCATCTATCTCTTTTATTCATGACACAACTACCGTATTTCATTTGTAAACATCTTATTCCTACAATACCACCTCTAATCACTTATGTTTTTTTTAGTTGGACTTTTATTATCCCCTTAATTTATGATCCCCAAAATAGAATTGTTGCAATTATTGTGAAACTTCCCAAAATAGCATTGTTGTTAATTGTTACTCCTATATTAATTAAGAACAAAGGAAGTATAATTTTATTTTTATTTTTAAATGATTTAAGATTAGTCTAAACATATCAAACTTTTGTAATTGATCATTAAAGATATCAATGTTCAAAGTTTTGCATTAGAAAACGTAAAAGTCAAACTTTTAATACACAGCTTGCAAATTACGCAGAATCTCAACATTTTGAGGTTGGCAGTACAATACACAAGAATCCACCTTTTTATCTTCTTTCTGTTTTCCTTTTTATTCTTATCAAAAATAAATAAATAAAAAAAAAAAAATTAAATAATTAGAATGCTCTCCTATCCAGAATCAATTCTCGTAGTGCATATCAATTCATGAAATTTGCCTTTGCATTCTAAAAAATAATTTTAGCATAAGTTATAAAAATTTGTGTCATTCTAAAGAGTCATTCTAGCATAAGCTCTCTTTCAGTTTAGGGGAGGATTTAAACTTCTAGACAAAAGTAACTACTGCTTAGGTTAGCAGCAGAGCTGCAGGCCTGCAGCACATTATAGACCAAATTTCACGGGACTTGACTACTCATCAGAAAATAGAAACCTGGCTTACATGAGTTGGCTAGAAATTACACTATGTACAAGTTCATAACTTCATATAAATAATATGTACTACGAAATATTCTCAGTATGTTCAATAAAAGTGCATAATACAGAAAGAAGTAAACAAAACTTATCTGAATGAAAGATGGCTCCACATAACCAAGTCATCATACAAGGGGAACACTTTAAGTCCGACGCAAACTATTAGACCGGTTGGTTGCTATCCAGGATTAACACAGCTTTCACCAAGTCGAGTCTATTCAAAGCCAGTTTGAGTGGAGTGATAGAAACAATGCAAAGTTCTGAAATCCTGTAGACAATAAAATCACAATAAACTACAGATGGCTTCAAGAGCCTGTAAGTCAATATCTTGAACCAAAACAGCAGAAACAAATGTATATGGAATACAGTATCGAAATTTCAGCATAAACAGCATGATGCCTCAGTTGCACAGAAATATATCCATGGTTTATAGTTTAAACTAAAACATTAAAGCAACACAAACTGAAACTGAAGATCAATAACTGATGTACTATATCACAGTAATCAGACAAAGGCCTTGGTTTGCAGTTTGTTAATTTTTGGCAGTTGGCTTGCTTGACCAGCTGTTAGTAGGCTAGTAGCTATATATTCTTTCAGTCAGCCGGTAGTTTTAGCTATAATTGTGTTTGATGAAGCCAGCTATTAGATGTTAGCCGATTACAACTTTAAAAATTATACACAAAAGAATTTACTTATTTACAGCTCATCCAATCAGTTTAAAAAGCTAGCTCTAAAGCAACTGGGGAAACATAAAAATTACTAAACATCATTTTAGGCTGCTTGCTCACATGAAGTCATGAAGAAACAAAAGAATCAAAGCCAGCCACCAAACAATGCCAAACTAGATGTTTCATAAATTAGGTTGAAAGTTGAAACACCGTAAAACTGTTACCCTGCCTCCCCCTTTGGAAAAAACATGCACCCACACAAAGATGCATCTACAATTTTTGTGTTAAACAGACGAACAATACATATTAAAAAGAAATAGAAAAAAAAAAGAGGGTGCAGCAGCAACAACTAGAATCCTATTATCCCAACACAGCCCCTGCCACCAGCAGGGCTTAAAAAAGTTGAACTGTATGCAGACTCACCCCTATAGCCCTAACCATTCAAAACGAGTACAGAGTATATTACGTTGAGAAAAAAAAAAAGTTCTCATAGATCCAACTTAGCAATTGTTCTTTCAGTATGCCATGATCAATTAAAATTAAATGGCACGTTGCTGGGTATATCAAAAATCAAAACTACCAATTTCTTTTAGGGGTAAGGAGCATAAGAGATAAATTACCACTCATCATGCATAATGCATTTCAATTCAGCATTACCAATTTCTTCTAAAGCAAGATCATGAACTATAAAAAATCATGAAAAGTTTAAACAACTTCTATACCTACTTGAAAAGGTACAGTTTTGTATAAATAAAATGGGAAAAAAAAAATATATGAAGCCATCATTTTTCTATGTGGTATAGAAAGTTAGAAAATAGAAACCATGAATCTATCTTCAGATCTTATCCGAATACCCCATGATAAGGAAATTAAGCTCCTATTAAACTATTAGTTACATTCAGTTATTAGCAATCAACTGAACATCAGCAAAACAACATAGAAACTTCACAGAAAATACCTGAAGACTTTGAAGGCTACAGAAATCGTGCTCAGAGGGGAATAGAGGACTGAAGTACAATCAATAAAAGCAGAGAATTTTTTAGGCACAATAAGCAATCAAACGATATGACAGCAGAACCAATGCGTACAAACCTGAAGGACTTTGATGGCGGTAAACAGGTTTTAACAGGGGGAAAATTAAGTTTAATCTCCAAGCCCTTAGAATAAAAGAGCATTAATTTTTTATTATAATGCTATTGCAGCATGCCAGTATAAGTAAGGTGTACAGGATATACAAAGGTAATTTTTCAGGTTCTAGGTACATCTTTCAACAAAAAACAGCCTCAAAGAATGGAAAAGCAAGAAAATATATCTAATCCTGGATATACAAAGGTAACTTTCAAGTACTACTGTTTTACGTACATCTTCCAAAAAAAAAAAAAAAAAACAGTATCAAAGAATGGAAATGCAATAAAATAATATCTATTCCCAACAGTTAAACCTGTAAATTCCATGAAGCTGGGAACAGCATTCCTTTGGTGACCTCATCAATACCAAGCTGCTCGCAGAGCATATCCCAAATGATAGCTCGAGTACAAAATAGTATGTTATGCCCCAAGCTATCTGCTCCTCTCAATATGAATCAAATTAAGATTTCCAATCATACCAGCAATCAGTATACCAAGAATCATGTGCACCAATCATGGAATGTCTGTTCAAGAACAGTGTGGCAAGACATTCAGCATGTGACATGATTGGAACCATAGCTAATAGCTTGAAGGCTTGTGTCTGACATATTTGTCAGCCACTTTCTTGGACCACCAAAGTCCCCCATTATATTGTAGGCATATGAAGGCCACCTTATGCTGTTGTTACAAGAACTTGAAACTCCCATACGGATCATCTTCTGTGTCCTCTCAAGTGCTATGAGACTAGAGAAAGTAGAAAAGCTGTTCCCCACAAAAACATCTGCTCTTAAGCATACTTCATAGTCAATTGCTGACTTGATAAGATATGGGTATTTGTCATAAATCTGACTAACACCTAGCTTCTTTTTCTCGAAAGGAAGCAACCCTTCTTGCCAGCCATTCAATATTGTCTTGTCTTCCAACAGACTATCTGCAACAGCTAGGTAAATGACTGTTGGTTTACTCAGCTCCTTAATGTTCCCCACTCGTTCAATAATTTCTTCCTTGCTGCTACAAATTTCATTGATGTTGGATCTTTGCTCTAGCTTCTTACAATGAATCATCCAGTCTTTCTCTATCCTCATATGAACAGCCATATAAGGCATAGGCTGCAACTTGGATCTGACGCCATTAGCACCCTGACCTAGCTCAGGCGCCAATTTTTCACCTATCGCTTCTCCCCCTACAGCTCTAATCTTAGAAACAACTCGATCTGCTTCTTTCGCAAACTCATCAACTAAAGCTAAGCACTCAAACACCTTAGCATAGTCCTTCACAGGCCAATGATCATGCCAGAGAAATGGGTTCTTCCCTACAATGCGTATGACTTCATACTGATCATACGGGTCTCTGCTGAATTCCTTTAATTGATCAAAGTCTCTCACCAATGTCCACTTTCTTCCACTCCCTTTCTGCAGCTCCAGAACTTCAGTCTGATTCAATAGCTCCGAGTACTGGCCCAACCGAACAAACCCATTGCAGAGAGAATTAAACTTCCTAAATTGGAACAACTTATCGAAAGAAATGGGCTGCAACTGATCTATTTCCTTATAGAACAATGAAGCACTCAGACTCGGCATCAGAAGGGTCCGGTTCAGCATTCGAGCAGTGAGGCACGCCCTGGCAAATGCTATCTTTTGATTGTTTAACCCCCAAACAATTTGTGGAACCTCCACATACTTGCCTTGACGAATCCCATAATCCGAATCCTTTTCTAATGGCCGAGCACGAATATCACTCACAACCAGCTTCCCTCTCACATCAACCCCAGAGAAATTGGGGAACAGAACAGCTCTCAACACCAGAGCAGCAACAACCAAAGCAAGACACTTACAAATCAAGGAATTAAAAGGGGAATGAGATAATTTCCAAATCTTGAAATTCCACAAACTCATGAGGTAAGTCAAAAAATCCAAATCACTCTCTCAAAAGCATCAACTAAAGACAAATCCCAGGTCTCAAAAAAACCCTAACATCAAACATTATTAAAACCCCAAAACACATGCATATGATCTCCAAGTTTTTTTCATCTAAACCACAAAAACCCCAGAAAATTCTACAAACAACAATAACAAAAATCAACTTTCCAGCAAATAATAATCAAGAAACCCACTTCAATCTTGCTTCCAATTGACCAATTTAGCAACAATTAACCAATACCCAGATCTCAAAAGACCCCAAATTGAACAAATATAGAAAGATTTAACAAGAAAATTGCCAAAAGTTTGGGGCTTGGAATAGGTAAAGACTGACCTCAAATAGAAAAATATTAATGAAGTGTATTAACCTTGAATTAGAAGTAAGATGGAGTGCAAATATTCTTTTTGAAAAAGCAAACCAAAATTCATATCTCCGGCTTCTCGTGATGTTTCCTGGTCGTGGCCAGAAGAGCATTCACGTGCATTTTTCACTAATTTTAACGACACTTCTCTTTTACTGGCGTTCTGGTTGGGAATGTTGGGATGTTTGAATTATGGGGTCCAGATTTATGGCTTTCTTAGTTGTAAAACTATTTTCTGTTTAGACTGTGATTGTTGTGGCTCATGGGTACAAGACTACAAAGTTAATTTTCCCTATTTCTTTGGATATTTTCACTAGTAGAGAAGGTCATATAGTCTATTGGTGGTTGTCTGGTTGATTATTATATGGCTCACTCGCCTTTAATGAATGTAGTACTTAATTGTGGGTCAATGGATGTTTAGAAAGTGTGATGAGCATTACATTATTTTGCAATTAATTAGAAAGATATATGGTTTATGATTGACATTGCTTCTCATCCTAAAGGATTTTTTGTTGGATTTCATTTCTATCAAGAATTTGATTGGCAAATATGCTAAAGTGGCATTAGTTAATTAGGTGGATAACATAGTTCATTCGTAACAACATTATTTTTCGAGCAAATTATTTTACTCATGATTAAATTATTTTTATCATTGTATAAGGTCATTTCTATCAGACTGGATGTATTCAAAGAAAGTGAATATTGAAAATCTAAACGCTCTCATCTTTACTCCTAATCAACGAGTATTTGTCACAACATACAAGATACTAACGTTAGTTGGGACTTGGGAGTCACCTGCTCACCTCCCCACAGCCCACACATAGTTAAAACTCAACTATGTCAATTCTAGACTCCGGTTAGTAAAAAGTTGCTTTACTTTATTTCATTAGAGATAACTTTGGCAAGATATGCATGGTTGCATTACTTGCGTATGAACAGAGTATTTTCATTTCGGTAAATAGTCAGATTTTTTAATTGACACAACATTCTTTTACTAATTACCATGCATAGCACAACTAGAAAAGAATTTCTGGTGTATGATATATTGCAAGAGCAGTAAACTCGACATCATCAATGCTTCGTGGTTCATTTCTTATAAGCTGCAAATATAATGCGCAGTATAAGTTATAACATGAATAAAACCCTCGCCTGTCAAAACCCAAACTCTAGAGCATGGGGGGGAGAAAAGGGATCCACCCTCAAGAGCCACAGGTGGGAGTCAACCCCGTGACCAGGGTCACAAAGCCAATCTCTTACCACCGAACATACTTGATCAGTAAAAATTCTCATAGATGCAGGGTCTGAGGACATTAAAATGTTCAGATGTAGGTCAATTTACCATTGTAAAAGATGAATTGGTTATAAAAGGTATAGCAGAAATGAATAATGCATTTCGTTGTACTGCCAATTTGATTCAAATGCTTTCCCAAAACAATCAAAAATGACATTGGAAATTGCTGTGAAATTTTCCACCTAAGTATCTCAATGAAGCCTATTTCAAACTATAAATCATTCACACACCATAACCACCACCCCTCCTCTTTACCAAGTTGCGGATTTACAGGAGTTGGGCAACTCCATATTTGATTCCACAGTACATAACTACTAGTACATGCGATAACTGACAGACAGTAAAGTTGCAGAATAGGCTCCAAGTACTGCCCAAAATTCGCACGTGACCCAGGTTGACAGCTCAGCTCCTTCAAAAAGCCGAATCATTGTTTCATTCGCTTTGTATGTACCAGCTTCACAACCACAATTAAATAATCGCTGATTGACCAGAGTATACCATGACCTGCAACATCTTCAGAGAAAGTAATCCGGTGCAGGCTTTTTAGCAGGAGTTCCTCTTGCTTCCTGTATCAAAGCACAAAACAGTGAGATACACTTCGTATCATTTCTTCAAAAAGATGTTAAAGATCGCAAATTTTTAAAGCTTATTTTATTGGGACTAACAAGGCTATGTTTATCAGGCACTCCTGGACAGTACTACAAGGCACAGTAAGAGGGGCAATTTATTTTGTCACAGCAGTTTAGTGTGACCTTACTTAGTACCAAAAGGTGTTGAGGCTTAGCACCCAAGAAAAGCTTGCTAAACTAGTCCTTGTAGAGCATACATGTTCAAAAAAGCGTGTAAGACTTTCACTTTGACTAGAAGTACATCTAGTTTCCGGTTTCAATCAGAACTTTTTACTCTATTTAATTTGCAAAAGTACTTTGTGGGTGAAATCACAAGTGTTTCTCTCAACTTTGGTTGCTATAATCTGTCTGTAAGGACAATTGAGTCTTGCTTATCACAATTTGCACCCATTCATCTTTTTGACCTACAACCCACATTCCCTATCGACTTTTTCTCTTTTGGTGACTTCAGGTGTGATTGTTAAAGGGCTTTTGCATCTAAAATATATTTAAAGAACTGTCCTATACACCAAACATTTTCACTTGGCCAAAATCTTGTTAATGTCTAATCAATCCAGCCATCCATACAGACTACACAGTGGCTCAGTGCCTAGAACTGTACCTAGCATTCTCAGAATTTGATGCATCCAAGTGTATAACTCTACTTTGATAAGGTCACGAGGAAGTAGTTTCAGAAACTAAAGGACCAAGACATCATAACATGGTTGCAACTTTCAAGGTTAAGTTTTCTCATAGCTAAATCCTTAACCAGCAAAGGTTCATCAAATCCATCAGTACATCTTTTTGCTCAGCTAATTACCACATACGAAGTATTAAAGAACAAACTCCCAGCAAAAAAGCTCAGCAAGTTGTGAAGAATAATATATACTGCATTATGTTTGATACAAAAATTAAGCTCACATATAACTTTTCTAGCATCGGCATTAATGAAAATGAAACATGAGAAGTGAGCTTAAAGGTCTGCAAGCTATCTTCTCATGATTAGTTTCAACCGGTGCTCTTCCCCGTGAGAGCCAGAATATATAGCTCTTTTGTGCTGAAGCTAAAGTTCAAAACACGGCCTAAAAGTCAAACTCAAGTCACTGGCTTCCGGCCAGGAGTGAACAGTAGCAACTACCGTCACCAAACAGCCTATAGTATACACTGAACAAGAAACATCAGGATCAGATATTCAGATGTACAAACCTGTGGAGCAGCTTGAAAAACTCGGAATTCTTTATTAAGATTCTCATCAAGCTCAAGTATTGCAGCAACATTACCACATCTAGAATGTCCCCGCCAAAGAACAAAGTGTTAGTTATCTATATCATGGCCTGAATGGTTATCTATAAATCTCAAAATTACCTATAACAATAATTTGGAGCAGACCAAACTGTAACAATCTGATGGTTAAACATCCATTTGAAACCTTCCATAACCAATTGATGCGCACGACATATATAATCAATGTTATTAGTGTGGTTGAATGAGGTAACCACACTGCCACCAAAAAGGTAACCAGCCCCACGAGGACTCATTCCCCAACCATCAACTGCATCTTCAGGGTCAGACCACAGGAGGTCGCACATGGCACCATCATGTGGTACTTCTTGCTTTCTGTCAATTGTCCGTATCTGAACAATACATCAATGAGAAGATCCAGCAGGAGCCAAAATAAATGAAAAATAATATGAATATATTTTCTAACCTGGTCTAACGTTGTTATGGATGGAGATAGACCACCATGAACACCAAAGATCTTATTCTCAATGAGAGCTGATAGACTGTCATAGAGTGAAGTTACTCAGAAATACAAGTGGATGCCAAAACCACAGCTAAAAGAAAGACAGGCGGAAATAAAATAATAAACAACACTTTGACTCTTGACAATTAACATCAATACATCATTGCACATTCTCAATTGACTCAGAAATCATTGTGCAATCTTAATTTACATATAAATTTAACAAAGAAATCAAACCTTAAATAATCGAATATATCAGTGCAATATCTCCAAACGTTCACAGAGCCATATTTACGGAGGCACTCATCGTAGAAACCATAAACCTGGGAAGCAAAGGATAATCAGTCACCAAACAGCACTTCTGAAATGAACCAGAAATAAGGTGTGACACAAAAAACAACCTGAGTAATTTGACGACTTTCATGGTTCCCTCTAATTAGAGTGATCCGATCTGGATATCTCACCTATAATTACACAAACGATTAGTTTCCAAACTAATCAGTAAGAAAATGATAGAAGAAACCTTACTTCATAAACAATTAATTTATATGATGAAATTTAGAGGCACGATAGAAATAAAAGCACATTCCTGTTTTCCTGGCTTCCACTAAATAACTATAATCCTCCAAACAAGTTTATAATCATTGAGAGTTGAGACATTAGGAGATAAGAGGATCCAATACTCTTCAGTGAAGAAGCCTTATTTCTCCCCTAAAAGCACAACATCTTTATTGAGTCTCCTTTGGTGTTATATTCCACGTTCTATTCAATATACTTTCGTCATTAGAAAATTATTTTGATTCAAATCAAAGTCCTGCTTCTAGCAATCTCAAGTTTCAAACGAAGAAAAATTGCCATATTGGCCAAATATTAGTTAACATCACTATTACTCTGTGGCCTCTAAAGGTAGGGAAAGGACCGTTATCTGATACGGAGTACATAACAGCTGTGTTGCTATTTTATAACAAGAAGCTTAAGCATTTTTTAATAACCTGTTTTAATCAAGTACACTAAACCAGAGTTGGTGAATCTTTGGTTCCCCTGAATATAGACGCTGACATAGTATCAACAATTTTTTCCAAGTCCTTGTTTCTATGGGTCAAATCACTCGCCTATGAGGGCTATGACTACGAAGTCATATTCTTGACTGAAGACTTTAATTATTGAGCAAAACAAAACATCATTTTCTGTTACACCATAATAAAATAATCTAAAAAAAAAAGATGGGAATAGGATTTGATATAATAGTCAGGAATGAAGTTGAAAGAAATTTCCATTAATATGTTACAGTTGCATGAAAGACACATTGTCAACTCAAACTCAGGTTGCAGGTCTAGGCAGGAGAAGGTTTGTATTTTGGGACACAAAAGCAGTTCAGAGGTATGATCTAATAGGATGCTGAAGCCTAAGACAACAATCTTAGCATGAACCCCTAAAATCATTCGATGAATAATTATTTTTTGTAGCAGACAGCTTCTTCTAATCCTACAGGACATTTTTCCAAGGCTTTTCAATCACAACATACAAAATGCTTCATATCTAGCTTGATTTGGTCAAGGATGGATAACAGGCTATCACCATGGAAAATTCTGAATCTTTAAAAAAATCTCACAATCTGACTTGAATCTCAACCAAGACATTAGTTTCTTGCTCGTCAAACAAATGCATAGAAAGCAGCTTCTTCTTGGATGCTTGTGCTTCCTAATATGGATTTTCTCAGCCACATGACCCATAAAAATAACACTCATTCATTTTCATCATGTATTGCATTGAGCAGTTCTTCAAAGGCT